AGCCCGTTCACACTTACACCATAATGGGGTCTGAGCAATGGCAGTGTGGCTTCAGCATCTCTGTTCTTAACCACTATGCTCTATTGCCTCTCTAGATGGTATAATAATTATAATAATAAATCCACAATAATACCAAAATAGACCAACTCGAGATGTGCCCTGATGTGGTTTGAACAGTTTGGTCCCCTCAAAACTCATGTTGAGGGCCGGCCCGGTGGCGCACTGGATAGTGCGCCGCTTGGGAAGCGCAGCGGCGCTCCTGCCCGAGGGTTCGGATCCCACATATAGACCGGTTCCCGCTCACTGGCTGAGCGAGGCGCGGGAGCAACACCGAGGGTTGCGATCCCGTTGCCGGTCCCCGGTCCGGTACGGAGGCAACACTGAGGGTTCCGATCCGTGGCCAGACACGGAAAAAGACAAAAGACAAAAAAAAAAAAACTCATGTTGAAGCTTAATCCCCAATGTGGTGTTTGAAAGGTGGAGCCTTTAAGAGGTGATTGGACCATGAGGGCCCTGCCTTCCTGAATAGATCAATCCATTCATAAATTAATGGATAAATGGGTTATCATGGGAGCACATTGGTGGCTTTACAAGAAGAAGAGAGCACACTAACATGCTCAGCCTCTCGCCATGTGATATCCCGCGCATGTCAGGACTCCGCAGAGTCGCCTCCAGGAAGATGGTTTTCACCAGGTGTGCTCCCTTGACCTTGAACTTCCCAGCTTTCAGAACTGTAGGACATAAATTTAATTTCTTCATAAGTTATCCCATTTTAAATATCCGGTTATAGGCAACAAAAACCACACTACAGCAGCCCCTTTGGCATATTGATTATTTTGAGCTGAAGACACTAGACAAGAAACAGGTACAAGCAAAATTCTTTGCCCTCTCTGTCTAAAAGCAGGACATAAATCTGCAGTTAATCAAGGAGACAACTCTAGACCCTTATCAGCCCAGAGAGGAGCCTGCATAACAAACTTTCTTAAATAGCCCTATCTTCCATTAATTCCGCCGTATATTTACCCTCCCACTATTTCCTTTCCCAGAAACTCAAAGTCCTTTTCTTTTGTCTTGGTTCCCTCTCTAAACATTTACTGTACTTGTGTTAAGAAGCCATATAACCCCACGTTCTAACAACCCTCTGAGTTACTCATCACTGAGTCTTCCTATGTGTATGCATGATGCATGTGTAAATAACTTCTGTTTACTTTTCTCTTTTAATCTTTTTTTTTTTTTTCAGTCTAATTTACACGGCCCCAGCCTGGGAGGGTGGAAGGAAAAACAATTTTTTCCTCTCCTACAATACCATTCACATTTGGATAAGGCCTTTCTGTTTACAACACGCTCTCGTCCTGTTCCTCTGGCTGTTCACAGTGGCTGGTCATTATCATTAGTGCCCCTGGCTCACATTCTGGGAAACAGAGCCCCTGAGAGGGAGACACCCAGCCATCGAGGCAAGGGTGGGAATCCTTCCTGGGCCTCCTCCTCCCAGTCCAGAGCCTTCTTCCACCAGCTGCCCCCTGCCTTGCTCTGGTACATTATTTATGGCTTGTTAACTTCCCACAGGCACCCGGACACTGTCTGCCAGAAGCTGTGGCCTTGCTGTGTCCCCTGGAGAGGACCAAGGGTGGCTGCTTCCCCCCTAGCCTCACTCTCTGCTCTTCCCTACCCCCTCACAGCCTCTTTGGGTCTCAGCAGGCTCCTGGAATGTGGCACAGCCTGTCCCCTCTTCCCACTCACAAGAACCACCTTGTGAGCAGTTTCCTCTTTGCCAAGACAGATGACACACTCAGCAAGCTCCCAACTTCTTAACATAGCAGCAGCAGCAGCAAAGTCCAGGCTCACCATCCCCGCACCCTGGAGCACACGTGGGTGGGGCCGGGGGGTGCGGGTGGTGTGTGTATGTGTGTGTATATGTGTGCTGTGAGAGGAGGGCTGCCATGTACACTACACGTGGGAGGGGGATTGCAGTACTCGTGGTGCAACACATTTGCATGGCTTCTTCTGGGTCTCGTAGTCTACAGTGGGATGGGTAAGGATCTTTTTCTTCTTCCCTCTCATCCAGGGGAGTGGGAAGACGTCTTTAGATGTAGGATTGGGAGCCCACAGCTTTGAAGCCGTGTGACGTTGCTCAATCTCTCAGCGCATTAGTTTCCTCCTCTTTAACTACCCCACTGAGCCATTATGAGGAGTGAATGAGAGGCGTGAAGCGATCAGCACAGGGCCTGTGGGACAGTAAATGCTGAAAAAACAAGCTTTTGACAGTGCACCAACTTGGATCACAGTCTCTTGGAGGGAAAGGCAACTCTGGAGGAGAAGCCCAGGACTCCACAGGCCGAATTGGCTGCCTCTAGGCAGGAGCTGGGTCACCTTCATCGCAGTTTCCATGTCAGACAATAGCTGAATTTAGCAGTTTCTTAAAACCGTGGCTAGCATAATGGAATTCTGGAAAATGAAACTGAAAACTCTAGGTAATCACAGAAATCACCTCTCGGATGGAGTCCTTCCCTTTTCCCTTGGAATTTAAACCACTTGGAACATAAAACCACAGGGCAGGGATCTGTTTCTCCTCCCTCCCCAATCTTAAGCTCAAAACCACCAGGTCCTGAGTGACTGGTTGAAGGTTTTCAGAATCATCTGGAGACCTTGTGACCCACAAAGTCCCTGAGCTGTGTCTTTCAAAAGCTTTGCTAGTGATTCCAAAGCAGGTGGCCCACTGTGAGAAATTAGAGACCAATCGCTCTGCTTGAGATTGCTCCAGATGCCCCTGGAAAGAGTCCTAGACTTCCAGAGTCCTGTCTCCAGGTTCCTTCTCTTCCCTCCTAAAACCCTGAACATGGAAGAAAGGAGCTTTCCCAAACTTCGCTATCTCCCTCTTCCTCCAATTTAGCATCGTTGGTCTCTGTATTTTGATCAATGTCCAATAACCCTAACCATTCTTGGACCCAGGACAATTGACATTTGTTCCACAGATGTCTCTCCCTGGGGGAACAGGTGAGCGAGTGAAGCTGGATCCGAGCCTTCCCGTGACCTGGAAATGCAACTTGAAGAGCCTGCCCTGCTGGCAATGAGACAACCGTGATATCTGCGTGATCAGCGTCTGGGAAGCCAGGAGCCTTGAGGACCAGCACCTTCATCTTTGTATCTAGGACATGGTGGGGCCAGTGGGCACTTGGCAAGAAGTGTAGGGAGGAGGAGGGGGTTGGCTCGTTATGCAGCATGATTGCAGCAATACCTTACAGTTGACCAGGAACCATCTATTTTTTCAGACTCTTGAGGCCAGCTTTGTCTGCTTTAAATCTCACTGTGTGATTTCTTGCCTATAGTGAATCAGCAAAAGAGTCTGATTCTAAGGTCCCGAGTCATTTCAGTGACCTCGATCTCTTGAGGCCAGCTTTGTCTGCTTTAAATCTCACTGTGTGATTTCTTGCCTATAGTGAATCGGCAAAAGAGTCTGATTCTAAGGTCCCGAGTCATTTCAGTGACCTCGACGGTGCTCAGTACCCTCCTAGTCTGGAGCCAGCCATGCGCCTGCCCTTCTTTCATCTCATTCATCGCAGGAGCAACCACTTAATCACCAGCAAGCCTGGAAAGCTCACCATGGACCACTAATCCATCTGAAATGTTCTATGTATTTGTCACCACAATCCAATCAAGTAGGAATTTAGATTATCCCCATTTCATAGATGAGAAAACCAAGGCTTTAGGACATTAAGAAACTTGCTGACCATGTTACAGCTGGTCAGTGGTGGAGCAGAGACTCCAGCCCAGATCTTGAAGCCCATGCCTGGTTTCGTGGGACAGCCCCTTCCCCAAACCCTCTTCCTACACCCTTCCTCAGGGCCACCTTCTGGTTTGCAGTCCTGCAGCCACTTCCCACTCTCAGTGAATGTACTCGACCCCTGCCGCCTGGAGTTCTTTCAAAACAACATCTGAAAACAGCTCTGCTGGATCTAATGTGTTCCCTTTTGCTAATTTAATATTTCTGTTATTCAGAAATGAGTGTGTTTTTAAAACTTGTTCACTGGACTGATTAGTCTGCAGATATTTTCCCTTCATTGTTGTTGTCTTTAAACTAACACTCACACAAGCCCAGTGGATTTCAGAGCTGAGACCTGTGATTTGTGACTGGGGTGTCTGCTCACCAGGNCCTCTGAAAATGAGCAGAACTCTATGCAAAAAGAGAAAACAAGACCCAGGCTAACAATTATGTTCATAAAATAAATTTTATATATTTAAAAAAATGGAATGGAACTCGAGTTTTTTTAAACTTTATTTTTTGTTAAATCTTAGATATCACTTTTGCTCACCTTTGGGCATGACTTGACTTGAATGTGCAAGTCGACTACAGGGTGAATCTGTTTCTATGTTTTTAATTCAACAACGTGAATTGAGTTTTGTCCTATGCCAGGCAGTGTTCTAGCCTCACAGGATTTGGCAGGAAATGAAGATGGATGGGTGTTACTCAGGAGGATGGGTGCTGTTCAGGGGTATGGGTGTTGGTCAGGAGGATGGGTGCTGGTCAGGAGGATGGATGCTGGTCAGGGGGATGGGTGCTGGTCGGGGGGATGGGTGCTGGTCAGGAGGATGGATGCTGGTCAGGGGGATGGGTGCTGGTCGGGGGGATGGGTGCTGGTCAGGAGGATGGATGCTGGTCAGGGGGATGGGTGCTGGTCGGGGGGATGGGTGCTGGTCAGGAGGATGGATGCTGGTCAGGGGGATGGGTGCTGGTCGGGGGGATGGGTGCTGGTCAGGAGGATGGATGCTGGTCAGGGGGATGGGTGCTGGTCGGGGGGATGGGTGCTGGTCAGGAGGATGGATGCTGGTCAGGGGGATGGGTGCTGGTCGGGGGGATGGGTGCTGGTCAGGAGGATGGATGCTGGTCAGGGGGATGGGTGCTGGTCGGGGGGATGGGTGCTGGTCAGGAGGATGGATGCTGGTCAGGGGGATGGGTGCTGGTCGGGGGGATGGGTGCTGGTCAGGAGGATGGATGCTGGTCAGGGGGATGGGTGCTGGTCGGGGGGATGGGTGCTGGTCAGGAGGATGGATGCTGGTCAGGGGGATGGGTGCTGGTCGGGGGGATGGGTGCTGGTCAGGAGGATGGATGCTGGTCAGGGGGATGGGTGCTGGTCGGGGGGATGGGTGCTGGTCAGGAGGATGGATGCTGGTCAGGGGGATGGGTGCTGGTCGGGGGGATGGGTGCTGGTCAGGAGGATGGATGCTGGTCAGGGGGATGGGTGCTGGTCGGGGGGATGGGTGCTGGTCAGGAGGATGGATGCTGGTCAGGGGGATGGGTGCTGGTCGGGGGGATGGGTGCTGGTCAGGAGGATGGATGCTGGTCAGGGGGATGGGTGCTGGTCGGGGGGATGGGTGCTGGTCAGGAGGATGGATGCTGGTCAGGGGGATGGGTGCTGGTCGGGGGGATGGGTGCTGGTCAGGAGGATGGATGCTGGTCAGGGGGATGGGTGCTGGTCGGGGGGATGGGTGCTGGTCAGGAGGATGGATGCTGGTCAGGGGGATGGGTGCTGGTCGGGGGGATGGGTGCTGGTCAGGAGGATGGATGCTGGTCAGGGGGATGGGTGCTGGTCGGGGGGATGGGTGCTGGTCAGGAGGATGGATGCTGGTCAGGGGGATGGGTGCTGGTCGGGGGGATGGGTGCTGGTCAGGAGGATGGATGCTGGTCAGGGGGATGGGTGCTGGTCGGGGGGATGGGTGCTGGTCAGGAGGATGGATGCTGGTCAGGGGGATGGGTGCTGGTCGGGGGGATGGGTGCTGGTCAGGAGGATGGATGCTGGTCAGGGGGATGGGTGCTGGTCGGGGGGATGGGTGCTGGTCAGGAGGATGGATGCTGGTCAGGGGGATGGGTGCTGGTCGGGGGGATGGGTGCTGGTCAGGAGGATGGATGCTGGTCAGGGGGATGGGTGCTGGTCGGGGGGATGGGTGCTGGTCAGGAGGATGGATGCTGGTCAGGGGGATGGGTGCTGGTCGGGGGGATGGGTGCTGGTCAGGAGGATGGATGCTGGTCAGGGGGATGGGTGCTGGTCGGGGGGATGGGTGCTGGTCAGGAGGATGGATGCTGGTCAGGGGGATGGGTGCTGGTCGGGGGGATGGGTGCTGGTCAGGAGGATGGATGCTGGTCAGGGGGATGGGTGCTGGTCGGGGGGATGGGTGCTGGTCAGGAGGATGGATGCTGGTCAGGGGGATGGGTGCTGGTCGGGGGTTGGGTGCTGGTCAGGGGGATGGGTGCTGGTCAGGAGGATGGATGCTGGTCGGGGGGATGGGTGCTGCTTGAGGGGATGGGTGCTGTTACAGACTGAAAGCAGCAGTGAGGGTGAGCTGAGTCCAAGGCCTGGGTCTTACCAGCCAGGCTCAATTGCCTGAAATCATGAGGCCAAAAGCACAGAAGAACCAGGACTTGAGCTGGGGCTGATTCTGGAGCCCTGAGCCTTACCTACCCTTACTTCAAGAACAGACAGGGCAAGGGCCTCTCGGCAGTACAGTAATTATGGAGACTGCTGTTTATTTGTAATTTCATGCTGATACCCACTGGCAGGGAACCCACCTAGACTCACCTCCTCACCATTGTGCTGGGGGTGAGGGTGGGGCTGAGAGTGTCTTCTGTTCTTAGGCTACATGGAGAAAAGGCATGAGGCCAGGAGCAGGTTAAGCTGGCTTTCCTTCCCGGGCAGTTCCTCCAGCCAACCCCCAGGGAGGAAGCCTCATAGACCTCAATCCCTTTCCCTCCCCCAGGGCATTTCTGATGCCTTTCCTGGGCTGCAGAGAGACTTGATGTTCTCCACACAGCACATCCCACGGGAGTTGGGCTATTTACAGCATTGAGAGCTCTGGCCAGTTCCAGACCTGGGAGTGTTTGATTCCCAAGTCTGAGCAGGATGATTCTGATCCTGGGCCACACAGCATCAAGGAAGCAGGACGCGGTGAGACCTCCAAGCCAGGTCCTACTCCCAGCTCTGCACAAACCAGCATGGGAGATCTTCAGCCACTCATTCGATCTGCCTGGACTTTAGTTTTCTCATCTGTAAAATGGAGATAATAATAACACCAATATCTCAGGGTTGTTGTGAGGATTATAGAGGGCAATGTATGTGGAATCCTACCGAGGCTCTGTGGTCCAGTCTTAGGGCAGGGTCTCAAAGAAACACAGCACACTGGAATTCCAATGAGTGCTCCTGTCTCTTGAAAAACATGATGGGGGTCCAGGTACATATGCTACAGCCACTTCTGGTCAAGCCACTGTCCCCTGTAACACAATACAACCCCCATGGGACGCTCCTTCTCTTCTACAGAAACCTTTCCTTCGTCCATGCATGTCTGCCCCATCCTTGCCAGGCCTCTGCACCACAGCCAGGGGCCCACGTCCATAGGGCACCAATCGCAGCATATTCAATGGGTGAGTCAGCACGGCAGCTCTGTTGCCACCTGCCACAAGGCATACTGCCATCAACCTTGGTTCCCTCAGGACAGTTCTTTCCATTCTGTCTTCCAGGACTTGTCCAGCAATGGCAGGCCCTCCAGGGAGAATATGGAAGGAAACAGAGCAGGCAGTGAGAGTCCTCTCTAGCCAGCCTGGGACAGCTGGGGACACTCACACTTTAATGTCTGTGGTTCTTTCATGCAGGTAAAGCACTCGGTGCAGGTGAAACAATAGTCCTCAAAGGTAGAATTTTTAGAACTGCCTGATGGAAAGGCTGTGCTGTGATTTTCCATCTAGGCTAACAGTGGGCTTGGAAGATGCTTCCAGTCAAGGATGAAAGAACTTGGTGTGAAGTATATCAGCCCCCCTCACTGCCCCTGTGGAAACTATTGGCCTGAGTGGCCCCACGCAAACAGCATAAGATGATTCTTGGTATTTTCCAGGTGATGGATTTGGACGTGTCTTCAACCTTTACTGAACTGAGACATTTTAGCAAGGATCGGAACAAGCAGGCCAGTGGCAACATCATGAAACCAGAAAGCACCCAGGCAAGGCTCCCTGGGCAGCAGGGCCCTGGCAATGGTGCAGCCTGTTCTCCAAGGTTGGGAGGTGAAGGACAGTGAGGCTGAAGAGTTGGCAGGCCAGGGAGCTGCCCGTGATGCCAGTTAGTAAGGACCGTGACACACTCGAAATGCAACGAGAGGGAGAAAATCATATTAATTAACCAGAACTCTTGCCGGGGAAAGCCATGTGTGGGGTACGTGATGCCAGTTAGTAAGGACCGTGACACACTCGAAATGCAAAGAGAGGGAGAAAATCATATTAATTAACCAGAACTCTTGCCGGGGAAAGCCATGTGTGGGGTAGGAAGGAGCACTTTGGTGAGCCTCTTGGGACAAGGGAGTAGCACCCCTGCAAGGAGCATGAATAAGTAATGACAGTTGCTAATTGGACCCTGGGGCAGTGACCCAGGCACTCCAGGTTCTGTTCTGCTGAGCAGAGGAGCACAGGACAGTGGAGGAGAAGCTGGGCCTGCACCAGCCTCCCTCTATGTGAGCTCCCACTCAGGGTCAGCCTCTCATCTAAATGCACACGGGGCGTGTGGTCCCAGGGTGCTAGTGTTGAGAGCTGCCTGTCCAGGGGCCCTGGAGTCTCAGTCAGGGCGTGGCTAAAGGAACCAATATCCCTGAGCTTTTGTCACCAGCTTGATTCTCTCTTGGTGGAAGGTGCCTGCTATGGATCGAATTGTGTCCCTAAAATATATGTGGAAATCCTAACCCCAGATACCTGTAAATGTGACTTTCTTTGGAATTAGGATCTTAGCAGATATAATCAAGTTCAGAGGAGGTCATTAGGGCGGGCCCTAATACAATATGCTGGTGTCTTTATAAAAGGGGAAATTTGGACGTGGAGACAGATATGCACAGAAGGAAGATGCAGTAACAAGCAGGACAGAGGCAGCCATGTGACAACAGAGGCAGAGACTGGAGCAATGCAGCTGCAAGCCAAGGGGTGCCCAGGATCACAGGAAACCACGGAAGCTGGGAGGGATAAGGAAGGATTCTTCCCCAGGGCCTTCGGCAGGAGCATGTCCCTGCTGTCACCTTGATTTTGGACGTCTGACTTCCAGAACTGTGAGAGAATAAATTTCTGTTGTTTGAAACCACCCAGTTTGTGGTACTTTGTTATGGCAGCCTCAGGAAATGAATCCAGTATTTCTGACACAAGGGTGTGGGAGCCTTGTCTGGCAGCGTTTTCCCTGTCTGGCCCAGTGCACCTGCCCTTGGCCAATGTAAAAAATGCCCGCAGAGCCTTTCCATCAGGAAATCCCAGAAGGCACCACTTAGAGAACTCTGAGGTCTATGCAACCCAGCCTTGGTTCCCCACCTGTAAAAGAAGGGGCTGGGATGGAAAATTCTAACTTGCTTTGGATTCGTGAAACTTCCTGTCCCCAATCAGACAATAAAAAACCAAGGGACTGTCAGCCCTTGAGAGTTTGCTCGCCGTGTACTGAGAAGGGTCCTGGGGGACAGAAGGAGGTGTCTGCCCTATGGATGTATAGCCTGGGGCTCCTGGGGCACCTCCTTTCTGCCGGCATCGGACAAGGTCCACAGCATCTAAGCTGACATTTTGAGGGCTTGGCTGCTGTGACATGAATAACGAAGTAAAATTTCCAGCATAAATCTAGTCCCTTGTCTGAGCTGGACTCTCCCTGTGAGGATTTCCTGTATAAATCCCTTCTTGGGCATTGAAAGCCCTGAAGATGAGCCATTTCTGATATGGAGGCTTTTACCCTCTCTATTATTTATGATGCTGCCTCTATTAGCTTCTTTTCTCTCTGGAGATTTGAGGCCAAATTCACCTGCTCTTTCCATTCTCCAAAAGTGCACGGAACTGAAATGGTGACAAAGAACTAGTCAGTAGCTTGATACTGGAGATTCTGATCTCTCACCTTGTATTTAGATAATGTGAAATTTAGGAGGCATGAAAGTAAAGTCCTGCCCCAGTGTCAAAAATGAACCAACAGCCCAAGAACAGCACAGCAGAGACGTGACTGAAGAAGACTTAGATGTTCAGTTCATTTCTAGCTGAATGAGCGTAGCTTACTGTAAGGTTCTCAAACATGCTGATCAAACCTAACAAAATGCCTACTCTGCACAGATCAGCAGGGTCTGGAGAGGCAGGTCATTCTGGCATTGACATTTTGAGAAGGTCAGAGGCATATTAGAAAGCATCCGAGGGCAGTGACCAGGATGGAAACCATGTGTATATGAGAGAAAGTCAATGAATTGAGAAAATGAGTTTACTTCCTGAACCACTGCTATGGTCTGAATGTTTGTGTCCCTCCTGATCCCCAGCTCCTAATTCATGTGTTGAAACCTAATCACCAGGGTGATGGTATTAGGAGATAGCACCTTTTGGGAGGTGATTAGGTCACGCAAGCAGAGCCCTCACAATTGGGATTAGTGCCTTTATAAAAGAGACCACAGAGAGCTGGCTGGCCCCTTCCACCATGCGAGGACACAGCGAGAAGCCACCATCTATGAACCAGGAAATGGGCCCTCACCAGACACCAGATCTGCTGGTGACTTGATCTCGGATGTCCCAGCCTCCAGAACTGTAAGAAATAAATTTCTGTTGTGTATAAGCCAACCTTATTTATGGTATTTTGTAATAGCAGCCTGAATGGACTAAGACAACAAGCAATTTCATTTCTAGGCTGCTTGTATTCGTTTTCTATCGCCGCTATAACAGATTACCACAAACTGGGTGGCTTAACCAGCACAAATGTGTTATTTTATAGTTCTGGGAGGCAGAAGCCACAAACGGGTCGGCGAGGCTGAATTCTTCTGGAGGCCATAGGGAACGATTTGTGCTTGCCTTTTCCAGCTTCTAGAGGCCGTCCACGTTCTTTGGCCGTGGCCCCCTCAGCAATGGCAACCCTCCAAACTCTGCTCCTGTCATTGCATCCCCTTCTTTCTCCCTGCTTCCTCACCACGTTGCCCAGTCTGACTGTAACCCTCTTGCCTTCCTCTTACAAGGACCCTTCTGGTTGTATTGGGCCCGCCCACAATCCAGGATGCTCTTCCCATCTCAAGAGCCTTAATTTAATCACACACGCAAGTCTCTTTTGCCATGCAAGCTAGCGAATTCACAGGTTCTGAGGATTCGGATGTGGGCATCTTTGGGATACCATTATTCAATCCCACTTTCCTACAGAAATGCACAAGTGTGCAAGAATGTAGGTACAATGATTTCAAAGATTGAAAACATGGAGACAGCCTACCATCTGGCGACAGCATTCTGATTAGACAATGATGCAGCCCTTCTACGGAATACTACGCAGCAGCTAAACAGAATGAGGTAGATGACAGGAAAGGATGTCCGTGGTGTATTTTTTAATAAGAGAGACGAGTTTCAGAAATGTATAGTTCATTTGTTCAACAAATATTTTCAATGCCTACTATGTGCCAGGAGCTGGGAACACAGCAGTAAATTAAACAGGAATTCATATTCCCTTTTTGTATAAAACTATATACAGAGATATGTGTGTGCATGGAAAAAAACATCTTGTCTGGAAAGTAAACACTAAGTTATTCACAGTGAGTATCTCAGAAGAGCGGGGAGTCAAAATGGTGAGGATTCTCCCTTTTAATTTGGATGTTTTCATACTGTTTTTATCTTTTTCAATAAGCATTTATTATTTCTGCTAAGAAATGGAAATGAACCAAGGTACAGTTATTAGGACAAATTTATCTATTATGTCGACTCCCATTTCATAATGATAAAACTGTACCATCTGCAAAAAAGTAAGAAAGAACAGAAGAAAAAGGGAGGGAGAGAAGGAAGGAGAAAGACTGGAAATGAAGAAAAGAGGGAAGGAAAGGGACAGAAATAGAACAAGCTGATACATGTTAACTTGGAGAAGGGCAGGCTGGTGGGGCACTTAGCCAAGGCTCTTGGTGTGCAATGTGTCCCTCCTTCCCCTGCAGGAACTAGCAGCTCCTGCAGATATATTTCTTTAAGTCCTCTCTTTTGGCATCTGGCCCCGTGCCTGTACATGATAGGTGATCAGTGACATATTGCTGACAAGTGATGCAGCAAATGGGAGCACTGTTAAAGGTGTAGATGTCGCTTCATCGTGCCAAAGCTCATCTTTGATCCCCTAAGACAACAGACACATCCACCAGCCTCAATTCCATGCTGAGATTTGCCCCTCTTCATGTATAACTATGTCGGTTCAAAGTCTGGTCTTTCTGGAGCTCCTGGAACTTCCCAGTTTATTCAAGGCACAGGTTCTGCAAGTTGGGGAAGTGGGTGGATATTCCAGGTCACTTATTTCAGCCACAGTGGTCCCCAAGATGAACTTGTGGTTTGCTGCTTTTTTGTTCTGAGCTGGCCTTTCCGCCCTCAGCGTGTGTCTCTGGGGCTGATGCTTTGTGGCCGGGAAGTGTGGCGAGAAGACGAAGGAGTGAGGCTTGGGCTCAGGGGCCCTCAATCCTGGGCAATATCATGTTGGGCCTAAA